CTTTTGTTCTCATCCTCACAGTCAATATGTGTGTGTGTGTGTGTGTGGGTGTAAGATGAGTGTCCCCCTTTAGAGTAAAGACTCATACGATCCTCAGCTTTGCAGTTTTGACAGCTGAATAACCCCATGAACAAACAGACACCCCAGTCCCGGATTCTGTGTCCTGGATCCAGCCAACTGGCTGGAGGTGTTGGGATTCATTATAGGTAGACAGTGCTGTTCAAAAAAATTAACAAAAAAAACAAAAAAAACAAATGGTAACCCTTGAAGATTAACCTATTTTATTTTTTGTTATCTCAGATTTTAGAATATTGTTTTGGTTTTTTTTTTATGTGATAGACATGCCTGAAAGAGAGGATGATGATGAAAGGGAAGAAAAAATATTTCAAATGTTTACGGAATATGAAAAAAATATAAAAAATGGGGCATGCATGTTCTCGTAACCAAAACTCTTATTTAGCATAAAATCAAGTCTGACCAACAACTTCATGATTTCACATAACGAGTTCACGTTTTCCCCATTGGTGTAATTCGGTCTTTTATGGAAGATGTTTTGGTTTGATGAAACCAGCTGGCTTGAATCTAAAGTCCAGCTGAATATTGTCTTTACCAAGAATAAACCATTACTGCGAAAAACAGCATCAAAAAAGTGCAAAACAGCATCATTCTGCGGGAAGACTCTGATTCCAGCCATGGACGGATGGAACAAGACAAAGAAGAAAACTAGTTAGATGTTGGAAAAGATCTGAAGGGAACTTTTCCCCTCCAGCACGACGACTGCATGATCCAGATCTATAGGGAACATCTATGGCCCTGTCAGGAGCTGGATCTGGGGATTTCATCATAGCTGCTCTATCAGATACTAAGGGAAGCCAGTTCTGATGGAGGATGCCCCGGCAACACAGCAAAAAGGACTCTGTTGCAGGGATGGAGAGCTTCTTCAGCAGAAAAAGAGGTGCATTCTAGGTCCTTTCCTCCAATGGCTGTTCAGGCTTAATAAATATCACTGCTCTCCACAAAATCCATAAGTTATCAGCCCTCCTGTTAACTGCAGTTTTATCATGTTTCTTCTCAGTTGCACAGACTATCCTACACCGTTCCACACTTCATTTGATCTGAGCATGCTGTTTCTATGGACACTACTGAACTTTGCCCTCTGTTTTAAACCTTTCCCCACTGTGAGGATATAAAGGATTGTTCTACTCAGGGGCGGATTTAGGAAATTTGGGGCCCTAGGCAAAAAGAGGTAGGGGCCCCATCTGAATAGAGAAGACAACACATTAAACAGACCCATAATATAGATGCAGAAATTTTAATAGAACAGAAATACATTA